TATTAAGTGGATGATTTATATTTTCCCAAGCAAATTCTAATAGATATGAGCCTATGGCTCTGGTAAAACAAGTAGTATTACAGTCTGATCCTTCTACTTTGATTGTATTAATTATCATACAAAGAGATGCTTAAAAGAAATCTGAAAATCGTCCAAGAAGAGGTTACCTGAGCGGGAAAGCGGACGGCGGCGGTGACAAGAGATTCAGCGCCTCCAACGCCGGCAGCATAAAAGGCGGCGGGGCCGGTGGGATTGAAGGTGGCGCCTCCCAATGCATCACCAATGAAGCCAAATACAAACAAAAGAACAAAAATGAGAAAAGTGGTGATCAAAAGCGTGGGCAGGCCTTGGGTCACCCCAAGAGCAGAAGCCACAACGAAAGTGAGTGCACCCAGCGACGATGCGCAAAAAACCCACATGCACGTCAGTATCGCATCACCAATTGCTACCTTAATTGCCCCCATAGCACAACCCAGTAGCCAGAAAACAGAAAATTCGGCCCCTTTCTTTTTAGGTAAGGAAGAAGAGCAAAACCCACCGGGAATTTTTGTATGATTCACCTACTATTCTAATCACCAATCGTCACACTCAAATTCGTTTTGGCATTTGAATCAAATCAACAACGTGTTTGAATAATGCTTATCCAGTTCCAGTTTCAGTTTTCACTCGATTTACAGGAATCACCGAGGATCATAGTTTAGTTGAGATTTGTTTAGATTTTATATACTTCCAAAATAGTCGACGGCATAGTTATGGGTTAATTACATCTAAGGTACTGAAGTTTTCATGTGTGGCAACTATGTTCTCACTTTCTATTTGTGGCAGTTTGTCCTCAACCGTTAAATATTGTGCAGACAATATTCTGAATTAACGGAAAATGTCTATTTACACGTTAAGGGTCCGTTTGATTGGAATGGTGAAAAATGGGTGGAAAGAAAATGAATTACAGAGAAAGTAATTACTAAATTATTTTGCAAAGAATTGTTAATTAAGTGTGTTTGATTGTTATAATTTTTCACCTGGAAAATTATTAAATTTTGTGTTCGTTTGACTTTATTTTATATGAAAAGTGTCCATTAAGGTGATAAGTTTTTCACAATTGGTTATAAAATTTGTTTCCATTACTAAAAAGTAAAAAAAGAAGTTGAAAAAAAAATGTTCCTAAAAAATCATTTTTTTATCAAAGTTCAGTGTTCATTCGACTTTGTTTTACATGAAATTGTCCATTAAAGTGAATTTTTTTTTTTTTTTATAATTGGTTATGAAATTTGTTTCCATTACCAAAAAAAAAAAGAAAAAAAAAA